TATTAATTGATACATTAGGTATCATTTGCACCTTTTTACAAAGGTGTGTTTGAACTAAGAATCTGATGTTTCCTTCAGGTGTAAATCTACTGAATATCAAATGGTACCATAGTTTCATATTCTTGTTTCTTTTCTCTTTACTGTATTAAGCTTTAACCCTTTCCTATACCAACTGTGTGTGTGTGTGTGTGTGTGTGTGTATGTGTATGTTAGACCAGTTTAAGTGTTTATGTAGTATGTTAGACTAGTTTAAGTGTTTATGTAGTTAATAAAGTCTTACTTGTATTACACATGACGTTGTTTATTGTTTGCTCATAACTTGAGTCACTTAATCATGCAGATTTATGCTACAAGCTCTTTGTAGAATTGTACAGTAAGAAAGTTATTTCCCTTAACCAGAAAATTAACGTTCTTAGAATTGACACACAGTTGACCCTGAGAGGTCAGCTAAATATCTACAGCGGATCTAAATATTTATAATTAATTATAACTAGTTATGATTAATTATTCATATTTCCCCATGAGCTGATTCGCTACATAGTCGATTTTAATATTGAAAGGTTGTTTCATCTCCTTTGGCTGTTTGGACAGGATGTCTCTTCAAACAAAAACAACTGACAGAAATAAGTTATTGATGAGGAAAAAATGGTTATTCTGCTCAAACAAACTATAAATGGGTTTGACAGCATCAGAAGAACATTTTAAAAGAATTTGAAATGAAAATAAAATAAAAAGTTAACTCGGCTGTTCTGACTCACAGACTGTAAGTACGTTTGCATATTTAAAGGATTTGCCACTGAAGATTTAAACGCGAGTTTTGAGCAGTGTAGAGTAGCTCTTGTTGTTTGTCATTTCTCAGATCACAAATGCAGACATGCTTTTATGTTTATATGGCGCGATGCAACGCAACATGTAAAAAGACAGTATAAGTCATTATAATCCTTAATTATGTCCCCACTGGATGCAACAAATGCCTCGTTTATAATGGTTTTAATGTTTTTGTTTTGTCGCTCCGGCCGGACAGGGCATCACAGTATGGTAAGGGGCGTAACATTTCCGTCACACGCTTGAGGTATTCGGTCAATCACAATGCACTGGATAGCTGGCCAGTCAGAGCACACCTCGCTTTTCAGACCGATGAGCTTTGTAAAAATCGACGCGTTTCAGAAAGGCAGGGCATAGAGGAGAAACAATAATGTACAGCATGTGGAAAATAGTGTGCTTTTTGAACCTTAAACTGCATAAACACATTTCATTACACCAAATACACAAAATAATGTTCTTTTTAGCAACATCATATGACCCCTTTAAAAGTTACATTAAATGTGAATTGGTTAATAATCTAGTTTTGAACCAAATTATTATTATTTTTTTTAATCATCACACTACTTCATACCCTTCTTTTGATAGCCCAAATAATTATGATTGCTTGACACACCAGCAGAAACAGTAATATTATCAGGGAGTCTCTGTCACCAGTCACCAGCTCTGGACTCCATACCCCAGAATCCTCCCCGGCTTACACCTGTTCACAGTCACGATCACCATCACCTGGATTACTGATCACCCGCACCTGCAGCCATCAATCAGCAATCCTACATATACACGCTCCACTCAGTCTCTCATCATCTGGTCTACCATTCACTAACTTGAACCTAGCCTGAATCCCGCTGTTACTCAACAGTGTGTTTCCTTGCCACAGACGTTCCAGTTTCTCCACCGCTCCATGTGATTCATGCAACATAGCCAAGTTCGGTCACTTCAAGCTAAGCCCACTGAGCCCAGTCAGTTGTGCTACTCTCACCTCTCATCACCTCTTGGTTCACTCCATAGTCTCAGTCAATAAAACCCTTGTTTGACCAGTTACCTCTGTGTCTCCTAGCCTGTGTTCGTGACAAATATATCAATTAAGTTCCAAGTGTTTAACAAAAGTGGACACTAATCAACATCATGGTTACAAAACCACTTTGTTACACAACATCAGTTTTGAGTCAACTTGTGTTCTATTAGAATTTCAGTTGTATTGAAAATTGTTGAATGAGTGTAAGGAGAAAGATAACTGCAGAGTTCAGGGAAATTATTGATTATTCAGTTGATTATTGTCCCACCTAAAAAAACAATCGCTTTTTTGATTGTCAAAATGGCACTCATACAAAAACATTTATCATAATTAGGTTTACAGAGCAACTAAAGCATAGTATGCAAATAGAATAAATTACTAGATTTAAACAAAGTTCAACAAACTGCTGCACAATAAGTCAACTAAAAAATATTAGTAAGGACATTAGTTAGGTTTTACAGTGTATCCTGTCATTCTTTTAAAGTAGGTATGACTACCGTACAGAGTACTGCAGGGATGACATGTTTTTGTCGGCTAAAATCTGTAAATTAGCATTTTAAAACTCCTGGTTTCGTCATCACCAGACTTAACATACCAGTGATTAATGTTTTTTTTTTTTTACTTTTCCTTCTCTTGAAAAAGGCAGTTGCTAATAAGTGTCTAAATGGGACTACAAAGATGGTCTGGGACATTAAACATCATCAACCGAACAGGTACAAACTCCTCTACTCACTAGTCTGCTTCTACAGCCTTGTCTTTATAACTGTGCTTTTTGCAAACTCAAAGTTTGAGAGAGTTGTGTAAAGCTTAGTGATACTGACACTGAGGTCATGCAATCATGTTATAGTTTGTTTATAGTCTATGTTTAGCTTTTTATTTTATTTTTTTGAACTGTCAATATTATTTAGACTTTAAAATTAATAAAAGTTCTGTTCCTTTGGAGATTA